ATGGGAAAATGGTGTGGTGGTAGTGAAGTGTGGTGGTAGTGAAGTGTGGTGTAGTGAAGTGTGGTGTAGTGAAGTGTTGTGGAAGTGAAGTGTTGTGTTAGTGAAGTGTGGTGTTAGTGAAGTGTTGTGGTAGTGAAGTGTGGTGTAGTGAAGTGTTGTGTAAGTGAAGAGTGGTGGTAGTGAGATTTAGTGGGGTGAAGGTAGGTGGTAAAGTGTGGTGGTGGTAGTGAAGAGTGGTGATGGTGGTAGTGTGGTGGTGATGAATTGTGGTGGTGGTGGTGAAGAGTGGTGGTGGTGAAGTGTGGTGGTGGTGGTGATGTGTGTGGTGATTTGTGGTGGTGAAGTGTGAAGTGTGGTGGTGGAGAAATGTGGTGATGGTGAAGTGTGATTGTGGTGGTGAAGTTTGGTTGTGGAGAAATGTGGTTATGTGAAGTGTGATGTTGGTGAAGTGTGGTGGTGTTGAAGCGTGGTGGTAGGGAAGCGTGGTGGTAGGGAAGCGTGGTGGTGGTGAAATGTGGTGGTGGTGAAGTGTGGTGGTGGTGGTGAAGTGTGGTTTTGAAATGTTGTGGTGAAGTGTGGTTGTAAAGTGTGGTGGTGGCAAAGTGTGGTAGTGGTGTTGAAGTGTGGTAGTGGTGAAATGTAGTGGTGGTGTTGAAATGTGGTGATGGTGAAATGTGATCATGGTGAAGTGTGGTAGTGGTGATCAGTGGTGGTGGTGGTGAAGCGTGGTGGTGTTGAAATGTGGTGGTGGTGAAGTGTGGTGGTGATGAAATGCCGTGGTGTTGAAATGTGATTGTAGTGAAGTGTGGTGGTGAAGTGTGGTGGTGGTGAAGAAGTGTGGTTGCAGTGGTGAAGTGTGGTGGTAGTGAAGTGTGGTTGTAATGGTGAAATGTGATGATGGTGAAGTGTGGTAGTGTTGAAATGTGGTGGTGGTGGAGTGTGATGGTGGTGGTGAGGTGTGGTTGTGGTGGTGAAGTGTGGTGGTGGCATTGAGGTGTGCAGTTGTTTAAGTATGATGGTGGTGGGGAAGTGTGATGGTGGTGGTGAAGTGTAGTGGTGCTAAAATGTGGTGGGGAAGTGTGGTGGTGGTCAAGTGTGGTGGTGGGGAAGTGTGGTGGTAGTGATGTGTAGTGGTGGTGAAGTGTGGTGGTGTTGAAGTTTTGAGGACATTTGTGGTGGTATAGAAGTGTGTTGGTGAAGTGTGGTGGTGGTACTGAAATGTGGTGGTGGTAGTGAAGTGTGATGGTGAATTGTGCTGGTAGTAATGTGTGGTGAACTGTGGTGGTGAAGTGTTGTGGTGGTGAAGTGTTTGGTTTGATTGTATTTGCTGGTCAAGAGACAAAATGGAGTTGTTGTTTTATTTTGGAGCACAGCAGGCTTACTAATGTTTTAGCAGCTAGACCAATGATCAAATCATAGTGACTGCTGTGACTGGCAAATCATAGTGACTGCTGTGACTGGCAAATCATCGTGACTGCTGTGACTGGCAAATCATCGTGACTGCTGTGACTGGCAAATCATAGTGACTGCTGTGACTGGCAAATCATAGTGACTGCTGTGACTGGCAAATCATCTTGCTTTGTCACAGTTTTAAGAGAAAACCAGCCAACAGAAAAAAAACAACATCAAATAACAAATAAGGTCAAGGTCATGTATGTTTCATAAAACTGGAAACTCAAGGTTTTTTTTTACAGTATAAAATAAATCATAAACAAATTTAAATAATAATAATAATAATAATAATAATCAGGTGTTTTGAATGTTGCTTCATTAAAATAATACAACTTGGGATCAATAACATTGCAGATTCTTATAGAGAGAAATACATCTATAGGGAACAAAGTCTATAAGGACCAGACAAAGTCTGAAAGGAGCAATACATTTTTAATTGTATACAAAGAGAGGTGAACCCATCATATAGCCAACAAAAGTATTCATATTATAGCATTTATATATTAATGATTTTTTTTTTTTTACAATTATCACAATCCCAATTTTCATAAAGCTTTATCTCAAACAAATTTTCCCATGCATGAAATAGGATAGAACAAAAGTTCTATACAAAGCCAGATCATTATCTAGGAAATGAAAAAGTCAATGAATTAAACTAGTTCATTCTCTCATTTCAATGCATCTACCATCAAAGAGCAAAATGACATATTGAAAAACAATGATTTTATAAGACTTTGTTTCAATAATAGTGTTCATATTCCTTGTCTCACTCAAGTCATTCCCTTTCAAACAGCTTACAATGTCTGCCTGTGGTTACAAGGTGGATCACAATGTCTGCCTGTGGTTACACGGTGGGTCACAATGTCTTCCTGTGTACAATGTCTGCCTGCGTACAATGTCTGCCAGTGGTTACAACTGCCTTATCATCCCACACTCACCTAAAATTTTCTGCCTTTTGCCACACAAACATGCCTTACAAGCCCCATCCAGTTTCCCTTCACGTTTTCAAAGTCAGGCAATTTTTTCATTTGGGGAGGGCACCCATCTCTGTGTCATTTTCTCTTTTAGAAAAAAATATGGATGAACTGAATGGACCAACAGCAATAACCAATAACCAGGACCATTGACTATAACCATAAGTTAAGGAAGATAATTTTGTCTGCCCCAATGTTCTAAGTCAAATCTGATTTGGCTACTTCAATTTAATTATGGTGATTTGGTTTCTGGCAAGCTCATTATTTATGGCTACTCATTTTTCAAATAAAAAGTGTTGACTTGGCTACCTCATTTCTGGCTACCTCGCTAATTTTTCAAGAAAACTTTATTGATCTCTGTCAAATGTTCTGATTTGGTGCTGGTCAGAACGACGTTAAAATAATCACTTATCCTTTACTGCTTAAAATGAAAATAGAATAGTAATGTGCTAAGATAATTACTTTACAGCCCATACCTACTTTATAGCCCGTATCTACTTTACAGTCCATATCTACTTTATAGTCCTTATCTAAAAGCTGACATATGCAGGAGCTTAGACCCCACATACGTTTTACAAAGGAACTTTTCATTTCATGGACTTGACAGCACATACTGAACGTGAATGACATCCAAAGAACATTTGGCATTTTAAAAGATTAATATCATTGGGTAAACATTTGTTCATGAACTTCAACATCTGACCTACGAAGAGGGGGTTAAAGGGGAGGAAGGGATTTTATGGTGAGAGAGAGATTTAGAGGGAGAGAGAGCAATTTAGAGTGAGAGAGACGGATTTAGAGTGAGAGAGAGGGATTTAGAGGGAGAGAGAGGGAGAGAGAAGGAGAGAGAGAGGAGAGGAGAGAGAGGGAGAGAGAGGGAGAGAGAGGGACAGAGAGGAAGAGGGAGGGAGAGAGGGAGAGAGAGCGAGAGAGAGGGAGAGAGAGGGAAAGAGAGGGATTTAGAGGGATTTAGAGGGAGAGAGAGGGAAAGAGAGGGATTTAGAGGGAGTGAGAGGGATTTAGAGGGATTTAGAGGGAGAGAGATGGAGAGGAAGGGAGAGAGAGGGAAAGAGAGGGAAAGAGAGGGAGAGAGAGGGATTTAGAGGGTGAGAGAGGGATTTAGATGGAGAGAGATGGATTTAGAGGGAGAGAGAGGGAGAGAGAGGGAGAGAGAGGGATTTAGAGGGAGAGAGTGATTTAGAGGGATTTAGAGGGAGAGAGTGATTTAGAGGGATTTAGAGGGAGAGAGAGGGATTTAGAGGGAGAGAGAGGGATTTAGAGGGGCAGAGAGATGGATTTAGAGGGAGAGAGAGCGAGAGAGAGGGAGAGAGAGCGAGAGAGAGGGAGAGAGTGGGAGAGAGAGGGACTTAGAGGGGGAGAGAGAGGGATTTAGAGGGATTTAGAGGGAGAGAGAGGGAAAGAGAGGGATTTAGAGGGAGTGAGAGGGATTTAGAGGGATTTAGAGGGAGAGAGATGGAGAGGAAGGGAGAGAGAGGGAAAGAGAGGGAAAGAGAGGGAGAGAGAGGGATTTAGAGGGTGAGAGAGGGATTTAGATGGAGAGAGATGGATTTAGAGGGAGAGAGAGGGAGAGAGAGGGAGATAGAGGGAGAGAGGGCGAAAGAGGGATTTAGAGGGAGAGAGAGGGAGAGAGAGGGAGGGAGAGGGATTTAGAGGGAGAGAGTGATTTAGAGGGATTTAGAGGGAGAGAGTGATTTAGAGGGATTTAGAGGGAGAGAGAGGGATTTAGAGGGAGAGAGAGGGATTTAGAGGGGCAGAGAGATGGATTTAGAGGGAGAGAGAGCGAGAGAGAGGGAGAGAGAGCGAGAGAGAGGGAGAGAGTGGGAGAGAGAGGGACTTAGAGGGGGAGAGAGATGGATTTAGAGGGATTTAGAGGGAGAGAGAGGGATTTAGAGGGAGAGAGAGGGATTTAGAGGGAGAGAGAGGGATTTAAATTAGAGGTTCGAGTTAAAGGGAGAAGGTTTTTACAGGCAGAGTGAGGGATTTTGAGGTGGATGAGAGGGATTTAGAGAGACCGACGGTAGTGTGGATAAGAGAGGAACGTGAAATATAATGATGAAAAAAACCCTGTTAAATTAATCAGAAAATTAAAAATCTGTTGTATCATAACGTCGTAGTGTGTATCATATAGTTGTGGTGGGTACCATAAAGTTGTAGTGTGTACCATAAAGTTGTGGTGTGTATCATAAAGTTGTGGTGTGTATCATAAAGTTGTGGTGTGTATCATAAAGTTGTGGTATGTATCCTAAAGTTGTGGTGTGTATCATAAAGTTGTGGTGTGTATCTTAGTGTTGTTGAGTCCCGTGTAAAGGGTGGTGCTTCATCTTGATGTGTCTTGCTGGAGTTGGCGTTTTGGTGTGCATGTGTCATGTTGATTTTGGTGTGTCTTGTTGATTGTGGTGGGTTCTTGATTTTGGTGTGTCTTTTTGATTTTGGCGTGTCTTGTTCATTTTGTGTATCTTCTTCATTTTGATGTGTCTTGTTCATTTTGGTGTGTCTTGTTCATTTTGGTGTGTCTTGTTCATTTTGGTGTGTCTTGTTCATTTTGGCATGTGTAGTGATATGTAGTTGTATTCTCGAGAGCTCTAGGTCATCCACCTATACAACAAGGTGGTTTGCGGAGAGTTGGTAAGTGGGCTGTAAGTAATTGAGACAGAAGGTGTGGGTCAGTGGGGTGTGGCGCAGTGGGGTGCGTGTGTTAAGTCAGTGTTGTGTGGATCAACGGGGTGTGTGTCAATGTTTGGTAAGTCTGTAGTGTGTGGGTCATTGAGTTGACATTTTATAGGGTCTGTGGAATTAGGTTTGTGTGGTGTCTATCTAGATCTGTTTGGAAGCATCTGTTGGTGGATGGCTGTAATGGCATTGTTTTGAAAGACAAAAATGATGACATTGTTTTGTGAGACAAAAATTATGAAATTGTTTTGTAAGACAAAAGTGAAGAGATTATTTTGTAAGACAAAAGTGAAGACATTGTAGATGAAGACATGAGACGACTTCAAAGGTTGGATAAACTACTAAGAAACTAACACAAAATAAATATTGCTATGCAGAGGCGACATTTAGGTGGCGCCCTAGGTCTGGTGTTCCTTAGGTGGCGCCCTAGGTCTGATGTTCCTTAGGTGGCGCCCTAGGTCTGGTGTTCCTTAGGTGGAGCCCTAGGTCTGGTGTTCCTTAGGTGGCGCCCTAGGTCTGGTGTTCCTTAGGTGGCGCCCTAGGTCTGGTGTTCCTTACGTGGAGCCCTAGGTCTGGTGTTCCTTAGGTGGCGCCCTAGGTCTGGTGTTCCTTAGTGCCAGTCATTTTTAATATAAAACAAACAATAGATAAACAATAACCAAATCAATACTGTGCTAAGTGGCGGACCCTCCCTGGACCCTCACTTCCTTTCCTTAAGACAACCAAAACATATGAGAAACGTCAGCAGGAATTCATCCAGGTGTCTTTTATCTAACCCAATAAGTAAAACTGGTCCTTCTCCCCCCCCCCACACTTTCTTCCATAACCTACACACACTTTTGTTCATGCACCACCTGGATTTAATATGTACACCTGCACAGACAAACAGTATACCTGGTGTTCTAATACAAGGTAACATTCACATTGTTATACCAACAAAACCACACATCTCTTGGCCTAAATTCAAACATAAATGTATTGCAACAGAGTAGAGTCTGCGACCTCAAACTCATTGCTTGGAAGATTTTATCCATGCATAAAATATTTAGTAGACGATGTAGTACTACTAATCTATTGGTTGCATGTACACAGGAGTTTTGGTTGACAATGTACTAACTACTACTTAAATCTATTGGTAGCATGTACACAGGAGTTTTGGTTGACAATGTACTAACTACTACTTAAATCTATTGGTAGCATGTACACAGGAGTTTTGGTTGACAATGTACTACTACTTAAATCTAATGGTTGCATGTACACAGAAAGTCTGGTACACAATGTACTGCCATTTAAATGGCTGTACATGAGAAGTCTGGTACACAATGTACTACCATTTAAATGGCTGTACACAAGAGGTCTGGTAGAGAAATCACAGAATGTTGGCCAGATGAAACAAATGATAGTAATACATTACCAGTAGTGAGAGATATACGTTATCACTAGTGAGTTTAATAGAAGTAACATCATAGTAACTATTCAGAGCAATAGAAATAGCCCAAAAGATACTAATACAAGTATTTCTAGTGAGAGTAATAACAGTCTCACTAATAAGAGTAATATAGCCTCAATAATAAGAGCAGTACAGTCTCACTGAGAGTAATACACATAATGATGGTTATTTCTAAAATCCATACAAAGTGCAAGCATCCCAACAAAAATGAGATGTCAAGGTCAATTGTGTTTCTTCATCTGTGAAATATCACTAATTCTTAACTCTAGTGGCCTCCCCTTGATGCTTAACTCTGATTACGTCAGTTTATTGTTTAACCCTAGTGATGTCAGATTGATGTTTATCTCGAGTGACATCTCCTCAATGCTTAACTGCAGTGACGACCCCTTGATGCTTAACTCTAGTTACGTCCCTTTGATCATTTACTGGAGTGACATCCCTTTAATGATTAACTCTTAGTGACATCCCCTTATTCTAGTGATTTCCTCAGGTGCCATACCTCATGAGACCTACCATTTCCTGACCTGCAGAAAGTCAAGAGGTCCACACTGCCACGCCGAGTTTGACATAGAACATGTCTCGGTGGATATAGAACCTGGGTTAACAGAAGACTCCAAACTATGAGTATAATGAACAAATAGGTTTGTTGATGGAAGTGGTCTAGGTATTCTAAATGTTGCTCCAGGAGATATGCCTACACAATTTTTAATATATATGAAGATGAGCTACTTTGCAAACAAATGATAATTCCTTCTAAGACTTTAGGTGTACACACAGAGTCCCTAATGCAGCTGCTACCAGAACATTCACATGCAAAATAAACACACCAATCTCTAATAAACTACACAAATTCTCCTTGTGTGAGCGGCAGGGCTCCAGTAACAGTTCCTTCTTGAAATCTGCACATCTAGCTTTTGAGTGCTCTGCCTACCAAACCATTGCAGTTCAACACACCATTGTTGCCTAACACAACAGTTCTGTCCAACACACCACTGCAATTCAACACCACTGAAGTGCAACAGGCCACTGGAGTTCAACACAACACTGCAGTCCATCACACCATCACTGTTCAACACATCACTGTTGCACGTATCAAAACAGAGATGCACTGCAATGACGGCTCTCACCCTTATTTGAAATGTATTTCCTCCGCAAATAATCTCAAGCAAGTTGAAATACTGAGACTAGATATGATTCTATTGTGACTTGTTACTGTGCTTGGTAGTTGCTGTGGTCGCCGTCCTTGTAATCAGAAGCTCTACAGGAAGTGCAGCCATGCGGTCTCGTTATCTGTCGGGAACGTCTTGGCAAAACATTCAAAAACGTAGTTGTTGCCATCGTTGCTGTCCCAGTACTCGGTGCCGCCGGCGTTGTACGACACTGCAAACTCCAAACGCGAGCCCAGGCCAAAGAAAGGCGGCGCCACTATGCTGAACGAAAACCTGTCGGTGGGCCCGTCACAAGAGTTTTGTACATAACTGGCCGCTATGTCGTGGAAGGTCGCCCACGCGTTGTGCGTGTACCGCACGCGGACGCTCTTCTGGAACGAGATGTTGGAGACCCGGACGAAGCCGGTGATGGTCAGATCCGTGATGATGGCATTCTCCAGGCAAACCTTCTGCGAGATAACCTTTTGGAAGAAATTGTCCGCGGCCCCTGGCTGGTTGAAACACGCACACAGGTACTTGGAGCCGATCTCCTTCCGCTCCTCCCCGAGGCCGTCTTTTAAATCGGCCATGGCGGAAGCGGGAATTTTGGGAGGCGACTCCATGTTAAGAACATGACGCACGGACTCGAGATCGAGACCCATGGCGTCTGCAAAGCGCACCACCTTTTTTCTGTGAGGCGTCCCCGGAGGAGTTTTGTTGGTTTTAAGCGATGAAGATTTCCGTAAGTTGATCCTGTTGAAGTTGAACTCACTCTCTGAATACAGCGGACTCTCGCTAAGATCCGTCGCTGACGTCACTTGCGGTACGTCTTCTCCCTGTGAGTCGGTTATCTGCAGTTTTAAACTGCATCCTATCCTGATAGGAGACGCCCGCCCCGCTCGACTGAGCTTGGAGAACTTGACCAGGTCCTCGTCATCCGAGTCCTTGCTGTCCAGACTCCTGGAGGACGCACTGCTGGCGGCATTGTCCTCGCCGTACAGGTCCTGGGCGATCTTGTGGAGGTCAGAGGCCGCTCGGTTGATGGCTTCCTGCAGCGTCATTTTGCGCGCTGGCTCCTGCTTAGTCTCCTCTTCTAGGTCCCCCTCCTCCGGGCTCAAGAACATGGAATCGACCGACACGCACGTGTCGTCGCTGACCTCACTGAGCGTTGTGGATTTGTCGGCGGTGTCCAGGTCGTCCATGTTGACGAACACGCCCTCCTCACTGAAGCCGTCTGAGTCGGGGGAGCCGTAGGGGACAGATGCGTCGATGACGTCATCCCTGGTCGAGGTCCCCGGCTGCGGTGAACCGATGGTGACGTCATCGTCGGAATGGCGTTTGGGGAAAACTGTTTTGGTGCCATACCCGTAGGGCCTCTGGGCATCCGGCGCGGTGGTCATACCTGCCGGGCCCACGTGATGCTGGTCACGGTGGCTACTGTCCTGGTCGTTGGCGTCACTGTCCGGCGGCCCCATGTTGTCAAGGTCAGGGCTATCACAGAAACTGCTGTACTCTTCCTTCTTGTGCTTCTCGTTGACCGCAAATCCTCGGTCCATGTCTTGGCCGAGACTGTCCGGACACTGCAGCTCGACACGAGAGAGAGCCTCGCTCAGCTGGGAGACCCCGTCACCATCCACACTGCTTCCCGACTCCCTGACGGCGCTCATAGATTCATTGGGCGGAGACCGAAGCAAGGTGGTCAATTTGGACGCGACCCTGGACGCAGGGGCAAGCAATGAGGAAGGTGACAACAAAGGCGAAGATGCGGCGCACACTGACGGGCTTGCACCCGTCGCTTTAGTTAATCCGGAGGCGTAAATAGAAAACGCACCGTGAAAGGTGGGCGACTCTGGCCGCGTGCGATCGGGTGTACCGTCGGGCGAGTGGCTGGGGTTGAAGACGTCGATGCAGTTACTGCCACTGCAGTTGGCGGAAAAGTCCTGGGCCCTGATGACAGACAGCAGGCCGATGGTCTCCTCCTCCACGTCAAACCTGCTCTCCTGGCTCTGTTCGTGCTGATTGAGCCGGTCTATCTTTGGGTTGTAGACGTAGCGGGCACTCACGCTGTAGCGGTCAAGGTAACTTTCCTGCACGTAAGACAGATTCCTTGGCAAGGTCACGAACGTGTTCTCTTCCGTCTCTGGGTCAATCGGGTCATTGCACGCGCACGGACAAAAATACATCGTCAGCCGACGCGGGCCTGTGCATCCAGCCGCCGGCAATGAGCTTTGGTGGAGTAGATTTCACCCGATAGTTGCAACCACACCGTCGGTTGTTTACGATTGTCTTGGGAGTGGAGATGCGCGCCGCTGTGTCCTGATACAGAGCGGAGCAGCCCGCCTCGAGATCAACAGTACGCCCCAGTCTCGAGATCAACAGGAGATCCACATACCCCTCAGTCTGGAGATCAACAGTACGACCTAGTCGAAACGATCACACCAATGTGAAAATCTTATACACGGTGTCTCCTCTTCCTGATAACTTAATGATCGACTAAGATTTTTCTTCAACGGGATTCCCTCGCAATTTTAAACATATTTGTAACGGGTTTGAGTCCGGCTGGAGTAGTTACAAGATTGTCATCGCGTCGCAAAGAAAGCTCTCTTTATGGTGGTGGGTGAACAGACCGTTGTCTCCAGGATTGTCCCCTGTCAGATGCTGGGTGAGCTGACGTATCTGGAAGTCGTTGAACGTGTCATCAAAGAGCTACCCTGAAGGTGGGGGGTTCAAGCCTGTAAAATAAAATAAAATATTTTATGCCTGCTCCTGCAAGGATCAAACTGGGTGGACTCAAGTACCCAGTCTTGTTATTTATTTATTTTCCATATAAATTCTGATAGATAAATAAATAACAAGATTTGGTATGTTGACTCATGCACTGTACACCAAATTTAAAATTCTACATCGCTGCAGTGTGTTTAAATTTGCTGGGTTTTTTTGGTTTTTTTTTTAAATGTATACTTCCACCCACTTCCTTCCCGTTCTTCTGTATCTTGTTTCTGTCAGGGACTTGTGACCATTCTTGTCTCTCATTTTGAAGTGGGGTGTATACACTTTTATATATATTTATATATATGTTAGGTTATATACAATTAATTTAAACTTAAATGAATTGTTTTGTTTTTTTGGTTTGTACTGATGAAGGCATTTGTCAAAGAGTTTACATTTGTATTTCGGGTGACCATCATTAAAGCTGAACCTACATTGTGATATTTAAACACATTATTTGCGTCTCATAATTATTCTTGAAAGCTGAATGGCAGTGTAACACTCTTAATAATTATTTAAATTTGTTTCTTATGTACAAACCTTTAAAAATGAACTAGATAAGCTGGTAACTGTTTTAACACCATCCAAATGCCTTCGGGAAAAGACTACACACCCCCTTTCGCTCAATGGCCGCCAAGTTGTTGTAGTTTTATGATCACTCTAATATTTGTTTAAAGTTAGTTGTGGTGGCTAGACGCTTTACAAAACGGATGGAATTATTTTTGGCGTTCATTAACAAAATGCGCACCAGAACACGTCGCTTCTCTTTACAAAACGGATGGAGAGATTGTTGGCGTTCATTAACAAAATGCGCACCAGAACACGTCGCTTTAATTGCGCTCGAAGTCGAATAGTTAAATACATTGAATTTACATTATGTCCCAAGGTTTCAGTAAAGTTCTCAGCGGAACGTATCGTATGGTTAGTGCATTGGAGGCTACAACTGACGCTGATACAATTTTTCGATCCCCTTTTGCCTAAACATGTGAGGAAATAAAGTGGTTTTACAATGAAAAAAATCTACTTAAATCATTTGAGGAGTTATTTGTTTGTTTAAGTTAATTCATTTCATTAAATATTACCCCCCCCCCCCCCCCCCCCCACCCACACACACAGCTGATCGCTATTCATTGGACAGAAGACGTAAACACCAGACACCAATGAATGACCGGGAATGAAAAATCTTTGATAGATTAGGGTATCGATTATGCGCCTAGTGTGTGCCTGGAATTCTTTGGTTCGAACCTATTATAGTGAACGCTTCAGTGAACGGGGCAAGCATGTCGGCTACCGTCATTAAAAGGAGTGCACACGTCACATTTGACTGGTCCCGTGCATTTAGTCATGTGATTGGGGGGGGGGGCTTTAAGTCCCCGCACAGGTAAACAATGTCACACACAACAGAGCAATCAGACTGCTCTACTGACAACTGTCAATTTAACATATTGTGACAAGATTACTAGTTGCCTCAACTGTCAATCTAACATCTTATGACAAGGCAAATAGTTGTCTCAACTGTTATGAGGTCAATATTATGATGTCAGTATTACGATGGCTGTATTATGACGTCAGGATTATGATGTCATTATTATGATGTCTGTATTATGACGTCAGTATTATGATGCCATTATTATGATGTCAGTATTATGATGCCAGTACATTCATTTGACACTACGTACCGATACTTATTTGGCGTGCATAAATTTAATACCCATTAATTAATAAAGTACGTGAAACAAATATATTAAATAAATATTATAACAAAATGACATTTAAAATAACAATAACAAAATGATTTATTTAATACACTGTCATTAATACCAGTAGTGACAACACCACACAATCGGGTGTGCATGACATTCTCAATAATACCAGTAGGGACAACACCACACAATCGGGTGTGCATGACACTGTCATCTACACCAGTAGTGACAACAACGTAAAATCGGGTGTGCATGACACTGTCATTAACACCAGTAGTTAGTATCTGGACATAGTTTCTGAGATGTCGTGGGTTCAAAATCCACTGACTCTGTTGAAATACTCTTCTTTGTTTTGGATGATAGGGCAGATAATGGCTTGTGGGGTTAGACTGTGAGAACCCCTTAGATGATGGGTTGTGGGGTCAGACTGCGAGAACCCCTGCGTCAGGTCATCATCGAAAAATACAAGTTTAACCACACCATGTTATATTTCGACTCGCCTTTAAGGTTTGGATTGTGAGAATCACTGGATCTGATCACCGTCAAAGAATGCCAGTTTAACCACGTCATGTTTAACTTCGACTTGCGTTGAAGGTTCGGATTCTGAGAACCACTGCACCAGGTCATCTGAATCGGTCGATAGCTAACAAGCCACGTCAACGATGTGACTCACATACGCACGATGTTGGCGGGCATACACAAATCACAATAATATAGATGAGTCATGTCATGGCCACAATCGTTGTAATCCAAATAAAGACATGATTTGTCCAGCAGTGCCCAGGATAAGCTTCAGTTCGAGTGTCAAGTTTTCTGCTACTCGAGTGCATATTCATTCCAGTAAACAGCGATATTTAAGAGACAAGCGATATTGCCATATTGAAGACACAAGCTATGTTGAAGACACGAGCCATATTGAAGACACGAGCCATATTCAAAATACACGCGATTTGAAGTGACTAGGAATATTGAAGGGACAAGTGTTATTAAAGGGCAAAGGAATATTAAAGGGACAAGGAATACCGAAGGGACAAGTATATTAAAGGGACACTGGATATTAAAGGGGCAAATGTAAGGAACAAATTTGGATCGAAAATAGCGACATTATCAGTTGGACACATATTGGCATGATAAGTCAGAACAATGTCGATACGATAAGTCGAAACAATTTCGATATGATAAGTCGGACCAATGTCGATGTGATAAGTCGGACCAATGTCGCCATGATAAGTCGGACCAAAGTCTACAAGACTGCGGCGACTGTGAAATATAAAAAGCCGGATATTGGGAGCACAAGATGGTAAAACTTGGCTAACAGGCCTGTGACCTACAGAACAAACTGTTCACTTTTATCCATACATTTGGATCATATCCTTATACCCTCAATAGTCTCTTGCATCAATAGTTAAATCTGGTCGAACTGGTGTGGAGTGCCGGAGACCTCGGGGGGGGGGGGGGGGAATCTGAAAAAGAAGGGGGGGGGGGGGGGGTGGGGGGGGGGGGGGGGGGGGGGGGGGGGGGGGGGGGAGGGGAAAGAGAAGGGGAGGGGAGCGGGAAGGACAGGGGGTGGGTTCATGAGTGCCCAGGAATACACGATTAGTTCAGACAGCCCTGTACCAGTCAGTCCTATAGTATCCTGTACCGATTAGCCTTATAGTATCCTATACCGGTAAGTCCTATAGAATCCTGTACCGGTCAGTCCTATAGTATCCTGTAACAGACAAGGCTACAGTTTCCTGTGCCAGTCAGTCCTTATAGTATCCTGTACCCGTCAGTCCTATAGTTTCCTGTACCATTCAGTCCTATAGCTTCATGTACCAGTCAGTCCTATAGTTTCCTGTACCAGTCAGGCCCATAGTATCCTATACCGGTCAGTCCTATAGTAGCCTGTACCGGTCAGTCCTATAATTTGTACAAGTCAGTCACTTGTCCAGTACAGGTCGGTCCTATGTCCTGTACAAGTCATTAAAATATTTTTTTTTATTAGCAATCATATCATGGTAGCCAGCATTTAAAGTAATAATTTGCCCTTGGACAGACAGAACTGTGGGGTGTCTTTGGAAAGACAAAACTGTCGGACGTCTTTGGACACACAGAACTGTAGAATGTCTTCAGACACACAGAACTGTAGGATGTCTTTGGACACACAGAACTGTAGGACGTCTTTGGACACTCAAAACTGTAGGATGTCTTTGGACACACAGAACTGTAGGACGTCTTTGGACACACAGAACTGTAGGACGTCTTTGAACAGACAGAACTGCAGGATGTTTTTGAACACACATAACTGTAGGATGTCTTTGGACACACATAACTGTAGGACGTCTTTGGACACACAGAACTGTAGGACGTCTTTGAAAAGACAGAACTGTAGGATGTTTTTGAACAGACATAACTGTAGAATGTTTTTGAACACACATAACTGTAGGATGTCTTTGGACACACAGAACTGTAGGATGTCATTGGGCAGAGAGAACTGTAGGATGTCATTGGACATACAGAACTGAATGATGTCTTTGGACACACAGAACTGTAGGATGTCTTTGAACACACATAACTGTAGAATGTTTTTGAACACACATAACTGTAGGATGTCTTTGGACACACAGAACTGTAGGATGTCTTTGGACAAACAGAACTGTAGGGATGTCTTTGAACAGACATAACTGTATGATGTTTTTGAACACACATAACTGTAGGATGTCTTTGGACACACAGAACTGTAGGATGTCTTTGGACACACAGAACTGTAGGACGTCTTTGGACACACAGAACTGTAGGATGTCTTCGGACAAAAAGAACTGTAGGATGTCTTTGGGCACACAGAACTGTAGGATGTCTTTGGGCAAACAGAACTGTAGGACGTCTTTGGAAACACAGAACTGTAGGATGTCTTTGAACAAACAAAACTGTAGGATGTCTTAGGTCAAACAGTACTGTAGGATGTCTTTGGACAAAGAAAACTGTAGGACATCTTTGGAATAACAGAACTGTAGGACGTCTTTGGACACACAGAACTTTAGGATGTCTTTGGACACACAGAACAGTCATATGTCTTTGGACAAACAGATTTGTCGCATGTTTTTGGACAACCAGAACTGTCAGATGTCTTCGGACAAACAAATCTGTCACATACTTTTGGACAACCAGAACTGCCAGATGTCTTTGGACACAAGGAACTGTCAGATGCCACCGGCAAGGTGGGTCGACGGGTCGGAACTAAGAGGTGGGACGACGAGGTGGGGCGACAAGGTGGGTATTCGA